GAACGCCGCTGGTACGCAAAGCGCAAAACATGGAACGCCGTTGGTACGCAGAGCCGTTTAGGTACGCTGGTACGCAATGAATGCCAGAGGGTTTGTGAAAACATTTCTTCATTAAACTGGCGACGGCCACATAGATTGTTCATTGTGTCTGAGAAACGCTAAGTAGAATTATGACATTGCAAATGACCACAGCGGAATCGCTTTTTTTTTGCACCGCATTCTCAGAACCTGATGAAAACTCTTGTATGACTCAGTTATCTCGGTGCACCGTAAGTTTTCGTCCCGCATTCTCGACCTTTTCGTCAGGTTGCTCGTGACATTTTTACGTATATCACTTTACTGTATCAGTACACTAAAATAGAGGTTTGCAAAGCAACTGTTTGGATCGATGCCTTTTTGACGAGTTCATGCCTGCTTTGACGCATTTATTTCGACATACTACCTGAAGATATTTCGATAAACTCGTAACTGCTCTCGCTCTTCGCTAGCAGGCCCATGCTTCCTCTATCTTCATGTGAAAAAAAATCTCGAATTTGGCTCATATGACAATTCATCAATCTTTCCGCGCTTTTTTTACCTCAATAATCTAGGTCGGTTTTTTGGAGCAACGAAAGATCGCAGCAAACAGTACGGGTCATGGTTACGATAAAATTTTTGGTAGATGTCTAGACGATCAATTAACTGCCGTGTATGTCCAGGATGCATATGTCGCTGCTCATCATCAGGTATGTGCAGACTTCTTTTATTGGGAATCTCGTCGTTTTCATTATATTCAACTCATCACCTTGTAGATAATGAATTTTGTACGCTTTTGTGAATTGGTGGTCAGCCGGGCGCCAAACGTTCGTTGCATTAATTTGCTTACCGGTATGGAAGCGAAAAACAATCAGGCTGCCTTTGCGGAGTTGAGTCAGAGTCTTGAAAAAGTCAGTGTTGAATTGAAGGTCGAATTTAGCCCCTCTATTCATGACAGAGAAATACGGTAAGTTTGCGAAATAAAAGTTTAATGGCAACCTTTACCGTGTGGTGTTGCAGATTCAACAATGGTTGGATAGTGAAAATTGGACGCGGTTTAGACTACTTCAAAAATCCCGGAAAATATGTTCTAGGAGCATCAGACTTGAATTTCCGACCATGTCTTGAAACCACTGTGGATATCTTGAAGCAGAAGAAGTGATCACTTTTTGTTATCTCTTCATATTTGTAAACATATGCAGTATGCAAAGCTCAATAAATATTCACTTATCTGTATGCTTCTGGACTCAGTGTTGGCATCATTCTGATACTTTTCTGTGTTTATCATTATTCTCTGTCTTGTCTAGCATATTATAATCTTGTTCTAGTGTGTGAGATTTGGTTTCGCATTCAGTATCAAAAACATCATGACCAAGACTGAAGCTGCCAAAACTGTAGGTTTCCTTATGTGGGCATTTCAGGAAAATGCCTTTTCTTTTAGAATACTGTGCGTTCTGTTCAGTTTAATGAGTACAAATCAGAACTGTTCAAAGAGGCTGAGCGGATCGTTATGGAGGAGTTTCCGATGAAAGTCATCGAATTCGACAATTTGCTCAAGGTAACTAGTGCTTTTTTGTAATTCATTTAGTACTCTTTGTTTTAGGTTTCTTTATTTATCTCAGCTTCTAGTGGGGATTTCTAAATTCTTAGAATCAGTCTGATTTGATCATGAGCTATCGTTAATTTCGTCTAAAGGAAATTAGACGATATTAAATTAAAATCATCAATCAATCATATTAGGTTGGCTAATAAATAGTTTCGTTTTGACATGCAACTTCCATAAACTTTGAG